AAATTCCGTGTTATGAGTACACGTGTTTTTTTTTTTTTTTCCCCCAAAAAAAAAAAAAAAAAAAAAAAAAAAAGTCCAGAAAAACAAACAAAAAAATCCCACATTCCGTTTCCATATGTCTCTTTTATCTGGACACGGCTCCTTTATGTTGATATCGTTTGACTGCATGCTCGGCTCCTCCATGCTACCCCTCCGTGTTTCTTTTGATAACACAAGTAGGATTTGTTCATGAGTGCTTCGGTTCTCCGCAAAGTTAAAAACGCCTCTTGGAATATCCCTCTGATGATGAGTTGGCGTGAGACCGTGTTCCTGGGAATGTTGCGCTGGTCTTCGTTTTCAATGAAAACGGCTCTTGTGTTGCCATTTGCTGCGAACGATGCAGGTGCTACGCACCAACTTTCCTCAATCAATAAAGCAGGCCAGCTTTATGCTTTCAGCTCTACTGCACTGAAAGCTGCATGACAGAAAGAAGCAGCATGAACTTGAGCACCTTTATTAATAGAGAATAAATATGTCAACATTATTCCAGAAGCTTGTTGATGCCTGTAGCTCAGATGTTGTACTTTAGTTAATTTTAAATTAAAAAATATTGTCTTCACCCCAAAGGGAGATCAAATGTTGTAATAACTCCTACCAAAGTATCTTAAAAGGGTTGTTGTGGATGGGCTCTGACTAGGGCTGGACAATAGATCAATAACATTATAGATCGCTATAGACAGGTGATCAATATGAATAGATAATACATCTGATAGAATATTCAGTCATTTCAATCCAGAACCGTGCAGCATTCTGGGGGATGTAGGCAGAGGAAAAGCTTTAGTTGCTCTCATGTCCAGCTAAGCTAAGCTAGGCTAGTGGCATCAACTGACTCACTCACGATTTGGTTACCTAGCAACAACCTGTTACACAGCAGCAGTTTGAGGTTTCTCAGTAAAAACTTTGTTAAAGGGTTAATGGAGGAGCCATGTTGTGATGAGTTCCTGAAGGTGGAGTTTCAGAAAGAGCTGGAGTTTCTTAAAGAGACAGCGTCCCAATTTCAGACCCAAGTCAAATTTCTATAATATATGTAGCATTTATATAACAAATAGTTAACATAGGTCAGGGGTGTCAAACTCCAGTCCTCAAGGGCCTCTGTCCTGCAACTTTTAGATGTGCCTCTGCTGCACCACACCTGAAAAGAATAATTAGGTCATTAGCAAGGCTCAGGAGAACCGATCTACACAGGGAGGAGGGAATTAAGCCATTTCATTCCACTGTTTTTTACCTGTGGCACATCTAAACACTGCAGGACAGTGGCCCTTGAGGACTGGAGTTTGACACCCCTGACATAGGTACTTGATAGTGCCATTTTATAACATAATGTGCCAGGTAAAACAACTTTTACCTTTATTTAATGAGGTAAGTTATTAAGAACCTGTTCTTATTCACAATAACGACCTGAAGGAGGGAAAAACACAAAGGCAATCCTTATTGTGTTTTGGATCAACAATGTACTGATTAGTGTTCAACAAAAATTAGACAACTATGTTTTGTTTCATTAAAAATGTTATGTATATTACTGAGATCAAACTGAGAAAACAAACATTTATTTAGATATGTTTGTGACCCGCGGATGATTTCAAATTGACACCATGGCAAAAATATTTGGACACAACTGTACTAGATCAAGAATAAAATATTACAAATATTTCCATCTACCCACTAAACCTTTGTCTCTGAGAAAAACAGGTGATGTAAATATTTTTCAGTACAAAACAGGTTAAAAACATCCAGGAATGAATTTGAGTTTCAGATATTTAAGGATGAATCTACCTGCCATTTTTTGTTTTTGTTTTATTTTAACAGGTACATATGGGTTTTACAGGACCACATCCACAGTTTTGGATGTGGGAACTGCAGAAACATTTCAATCTAGGGATCTTCGTCTGGCCTTAAACCACAAAAGGAAACTGAACTAAAGTAAATGTTATTCACAGCAAAGAGTTTTGATGCTCGTCCAACTAATCGTTACTCCTTATCGACAAAATCCGGGGCTGGCAAGTCCAGCTGGAAGCAGATGCTTTAAGGACATGATGACACATCAGGTTAGCAGCGTCCCTCTCCCTTACCCGGTAATTGTGGAAGAGCTCGATGGCGCGGAGGACGTCAAACTTGCGAGCCATGAGAAACTTGACGGCCAGTTCCCTGGACAACGGAGACACTCCATGCTGACTGGTCCACTTGTTGATTTCCTCTAGAAACTGCCTGGTGGCCTGGAAAGGACACGGAGAGGACGTCAGTGAGTTTGAGCTCTCCCAGTCGGAGGGTCAAGCAGGGCAGGAAGTGAAACTGTACACACACACACACACACACACACACACACACACGCACACACCCGCACACACACACACAGACAGACACACACAGTTTGAGGAAAAAGAACGGATGGACAGCTTTAAGTTTGCGACTGAAACAAGGCCAGAGACACAACTTGTTTTCATAAGCAAATATAAAAAGGCAATACGAAAAGCACATATGTGCATAAAAAGACTTTAATACAAGCATTCAGCTTGTCTCCATGAACAACATTAGATGTTTCTGCTTGTCTTTTATCATATTCTGAACACAACAAGATGTGTTTTTTGAGGCACCATATCCTTTTAATTCACCAAATTGCACTGGGATTTATTTTTTACAATACTATGACATGGAGACACTTGATTGACCAATGACTATCACTCACTGGTGACGTCACATTTGACAGACATTTCAAAATAAATTAACTAAAAATGAAAGGACACATTTCATTAAAATGTATGAGTTTTGAGCTTTTCTGCCACACAGTGACAACTATTTTGATATAATTTTCCTAAGAAGACTTTCTTAAAACCTTTTCTAAAAGCAACCCAAATTTTAATCAACCCACCCAAAACTGTTTTTTCCAGCCCGACGTATTCAAAAGAAACCTGGCCAATCTGACAGCATTACCTTCTGCCTTTTGGATTGTTTGCATGGGTGCAAGAATGCCCTTGTGTGTAGAGCAGAGTAGGTTTGTGTGCACACAAGGTGTGTGTGTTTTAGCATTTCTCATGCCCATTTTCCCATCAAATACCACATTGCCAGGACCCACTGCACCATAGGAATTAGTGCTATGTTAAAGTTTCGGGCCAGGTTTAGTGTAAATTGAGTATAAGTTAGGGACTGGGTTGGGGGTAGGCTGCAGAATATAATAAAAAATGAATGGACGTCAATGCAAGGTCCTTGTGAAGACAAAAAGACGTGATATTTGTGTGCGTGCTAATTTGCACAAAGTTGTTTGAATCGTGAGAAAGGTTCAGATCCATAACCCACTTTTAGCCACAGATTACTTCAGCAGTGAACAATAAATCCCAAGAAACTCCATAAATGGAAGTGGGTCAGAATATTCCTTTACAATGTAAAGTTTACATTTGGCATGTTTTCACACCAGATAGACTCGGTTTTATTGGTGCGGTTCACTTTCACACTGCACTGCTTCAGATAAGCCAAACACCTTTGAAACACCTGTTCACCTCCTCGCCTGTGGTGGCGCTGCACTAAGAACAACTGAAGGAAATGACGCAAAAACCTCTGAAGAAGACACTGAGCACACAAAAATGTTGAGTAGCGTCAGATTTTAGTGGTTTTAGAATTTCTTTTTTGTCGCTGGTAAAAGACCACGAGCCATTTGTCCCTCTAGTGCTTGACTTGTGTGTTTGTTTTGGTCATATTCTCCCAGAATGCTCTGCGCTATAGTACAATTCCTGCTCTTAGAGTCACATGTGCATTTATTTGAACCAAACCAAGGCCTAGCTTTTCCAGCGGACCAGAGTTCACTTTTTTAGTTCACATCAGAGTTCGATTGCGCGTTCACACCTCCCAAAACAAAACGGACTTTCCAGTCGAACAAACTACAGTTCTATTAAAGTGGACTAAACAGGGCTGACGGTAGACATTTAGGGGCTTTTAAATTAAATGCGCATTCAGGTCCTAACTATATTACATCCCATCCCAGCAACTCAAAGAGTAAGTCTGTCAGCACACAGTGAATCCTCAACAGGGTGCAACGGGAGGCTCTGAAAGGTCGGGCTTTGAACACAGGGTTTCACTTCTCCACTTAGGCGCAGCAGTGGTGAGGCTCGCACTGAAGAGAGGAAGTCAGGTTCTGGGAATCGGCGGCTCGTTAGGAAGACAAAACGATCACTGACGGGAGCTGAGGCTGAAGACAAGATGCCAGTGTCTCTCCTCGGAAAAGCCAGTGCTTTCAGAGGCGGTGGGGCCGGCAGCTTCCTGCTCTGTTCAGATGCCTTGGCATGCAAGGGATGAAGGCTGATTGCACCTGACAGGGCAGAGGTGCCCCTTAATATCCGACTCTCATGGAGAAAATGAGAGTGAGAGGAGAGAGGGATGTGCTCTGAACTTTGGACTTAGGAGAAGGAAATTGCACAATAACAGGATAATAAAGCGACTAATGTTCCTGTAACGAAAATAAGAAACTTTAGAAGGATAAAGGGGTAGAGAACAGATCACTGAATGACATATTAATGGGAAAAGCTTGAACACTGCAGAGGAAATGACACGTCAGCCCATCTGTTTATCGGTAACGCTTCATTTGATTGTACTGAATGAGACCTGTATTCAGATAAAATCCTCACTGTACAAAATTACCTTCAGATTGGATTATTTTCTTAACATTAATCCAGTCTGTCAACAGATTGGATTAATCTGAGTATATTAATCCAATCTGTCTACAGATTGGATTAATGTTAGTCAACATTAATACATTAATGCTGACTAAATTTGAAGTTTAAAAACAAATTATGAGATTATATATCTGTTTATTGTTAGAAATCCTTAGTTGTATAAACCTACAGATTTAGATAAATATTTTGACGATGATTGGCGAATTTTCAGCTTAGTCGGTATCCTGAAGACCTGAAACCCCAAATCTGACTTTTTCACCGTGGATGCTACTAAGGGAAGAACACTTAAAGTTATCAATTTTGAGTGACAGTAAGTAGTTTAACAATGAAGTTCTCAAAAGGACATAAGAGGAAAAAGGAAAGTATACATTCAAACAGTATGCTCTCTCTTGCTCTCTCTCACTGCAAGACAGTGAGAGAGAGCAAGACTTTCAGCAGACACCAGGAAGGCAAGATTAGATTAGATTTTCCACGTGGAAAATGCCATTTTAGTAATGCTAGCTAAATCAATATGCCAACTACTTGGTCTTTGTCTTAATCAAGTAAAATCAGGTTTTCCAGAGACTCCTTGCTAATATCACCTCTCTTAATGTGGATAACTTAAGGCTGACCACTGCTGGAAGTCTTTGGCTCTGTCTTCTTATAATGTAGTCATTTTTGAGAATATGGATTTAGCAAAAACTGGCAGCTAAACATTGTAAAAATTAAAAAATTGGAAATAAGATATAAAATTCTGATGTGTGCATCCTTCACTATGGACATATCTAGAAGTGCATTTTGTTACCAGAGCAACATGTCTGATTCAAGAGAAGGTTTTCACAAGTCAGCCATTCGTTTGATGCAGGTGGTTTTCTTTTTGTTGAAGTGTCAATACTACCCTGTTAAATTTTTACAGGACAGCCTTCCAGCTCCAAGTTGTGATCAACCTTTTTTTTTCCTTTTGCATAATCCACTTTTGTTTGGTATTTAAACACCAGGCCATATCCGCTGGAGCGGCATTTGAGGATGAACCAGTTTGTTTTTACTGTAGTTTTTGCCGGACTGCAGTGGAGGACTCACTGCGGAGGAGTGACTTATCCAACTCCTGGAGGACGCCATAAATATTTCCCTGACTTGCTCTAGTTCTCAAATGGCTGGAAAAGCTTCTTCCTCTCTCCCTTCCTTGAACTTTTTCAGAAATCACTTTAAAGCACCAAGTTCCAGCTAACTGTGTTTGCTGCAGCCTGAGAGGTTTTGTGTGTGGTCACAAGCCATTATGAATGCCAACTGAGGCATTTTAAGATCGAAGTTTGCGGACTTCCAGCGCAGAGATGACATTACATAACCCAGTTTGTTGAGAGTTGTTCATTGGAGGCACTTTTTTAGCCAACTATGGTTCACATTATTCACAGTCCAGTATGAGAACCTGATGGTATGTTTTTTCTTGCGAAAACATGAAGCTGAACAAACTGCCGTTACATCGTCACCATCTGGGTGTAAATTTGTAGCAGTTATAGACATAATGAGGGAGAAAGACCATAAATACTTTCTCAAAACTTGTCAGCTACATAATGTACTTACTGAAAATAACATACTATAAAGAAACATCAATATCTTTTCAAACCTGTCACCAGAAACACCTGAGAGTTATAAATGAGTAATTCGTGTTAGCTGCCCTGGTTGCTAGCCGGCAGTAGGCTGGTTAATTCACCTTCGGACATGCCACCTATTGTAACCTGTTAGAAACTTTAGTTTCAAAACAATTCTGCCTGCTCATCTGGTGTTATTTTATTTCAAAGGGACACTGTACATTAATCAATAAATAGTAAAGGTATCAGGGTTAGCCAAAAGGCTAGTTTACATGTGGCTCTTTTTTGCTAGCAGAAGAAAAAATCCAAACGGCCACCTGAGATAAAGTTTAGCCATATCTAGCTATTGCTTCTTTAGAGCGACTTGACGACTCGAAACAACAGTTTAGGAAGAACAATGCTACTGTACTGGTTACAAAAGAGTGCATAAAACTCTTTAAGCAGCATCTCCGGCATTTAATTAAAACTAGCTTCAGGGCACAACCACACAGGTAAAACAAGTTGTCAAGTTCAAAAACACCCACGCTCGCACGGGAATGTTTCCGGAAATGATTTCATGTACATGGAAACACAGAGAATGGCACAGAAAGATATTCTTATGCCCCCCAGACCAGGAAGTTTTGCTACTCATGTAGTATGATTAGCATATAGCCTCCAAAAGAAGTTAGCAGTAAAAACAACAAAAAAACAAGAATGACAAGAAACAAAGCACAGGTGAAGTCTTTTGTAAACTTTTTTTAACGCAGAATTGTAAATGCACAATCAGGAGTATGCAAACAGCCGTTGTTGTATGTGACGGTTTGACGCGTACGGTGTGTTTGGAGTTGTAGGTCAGGATAAAAGTTGGTCTATATGTTACCGTTTTCACAATGGAGGCATTTTTGCTGCCCACATCAATATTCAATAGTGAATTTTCAACCCTGAACTCTATTTAAAAAACAAAAAAGCTTTGGGACCCCTAAGATGTGGTTTCCATGTGAACAC